ATTTTTAAAAGGTAAGGAGTAGAAAGTTAAAAATTGTCTCAAAAATAATAATTCCAGTAAACTATAGATAGCCAATATTTCTGCTTAATTAAGGAAACAAAGTATTTTCACTTTACTTGACATCTCTGATTCCGCGAGAGGCCGAGAAATGAAATAATAAATGGTATTAGTTGTTTCTTTTCAAATACAATTCTGAAAAGTGTGGCATGCATTTGGTTCTGGTCCCCTTTACTGTAATACCGCTAAAGTCATCAAAGTGTAGTTAAAGATATCAGACTTCAGTTGAACTCCTCTGCGTTTAATCACTGGTATACAGTCCAGGGCAGAGGTGGGCAATTCCAGTTCCTGAGGGCCGGTATCCTGCAACTTATAGATCCATCTTTGGACCAACACACCTGATTCAAACGACTGACTTACCTCCTCAGTATGTAGTCAGTTCCTCCTGAGTCTTCTCAATCATCTAATTACTTGATTCAGGTGTGTTGAACCCAGTGGTGCCTCAGGAAATGTTTCATAGGGGGGCCAGATGGGGTCACTATAAATGTTGTGGTGGCCATTGAAACTAAAAGCCATAATTTCAGGTTTTGAATCTACTACTGTGGTAAACCTGCCTGTAGAAATCAGAAAGACTTCAGGAACACCTCCTCAGATCTTGGTTTATTGGGGGATTTTTAATGTTTCGTCTCTGGCTGTGCAGAATGGGAAACTTAAACTGATGCTGCTACAGTTTACACTGGTGAGTGAGGTGGCCAGGGCATTGCACAGGGGGCCGTGGCCCCGCCCTGGTGGCACCACTGGTTACAGGAAACCGGCCCTAAGGAACTGGAATTGACCAACTCTGGTCTATGGGTTCGTTTTTTATTTGTCATCTTTTCCAAACCTTTGCTTAAAGGTCATCATCAATGTGTGAAATTGTATCAATCGTGGGGAGTGGTGGCCTAGTGGTTAAGGCCAACTGCTCTCCAACGGGATGGGTTAAATGCAGAGAGTGGATTTCGTTGCTCTGTACTTCTGAGTGCGTAATGACAATAAAATGCTGGAAAAACAAAAACCCTCCCCTGCCCCCCCGGGGGAGCCGGCTTGGAGCGGTACCTTCAGGGCCTCGCTATCCTTCTCTAAGCGCTTCTGCTCCTGCTGATCTCTGACCAGCGCCTGCTCCTTGCCAATGATTTCCTCTTTAAGCCGGGCAGTATGGTTATTCATAGTCTTCAGTTTTCTTTTCATCTCTGTGATCTCCTCCTAAGGAAAGAAGGGAATATGGAGAGTTTGTTAAATAGACTGGATATATAAAATAAAAGCAGTCAAAGAGTGAGCGTCCAGCTCCTCCCTCCCACCTGACACTCGATCAGGTTTCTGCTGTAGAGATTCCTCTCTGTTACCACGGACTCCAGCTGGTTCTCCTGCTGTTTGACTTTAGCCTCCGACTCAGTGACCTTCTTCCTCAAATCAAAAATCTCCATCTCTTTGCCTTCAACAGCTGTGATTTTTTGCTGCACCTGCAGAAAATCAAAAGCAAAACAAACAGAAACATCTCTATAATAAAGAGGATGGGAGGAGGTTCTGATGCGTCCGTCTGCATGACCTGCCTTCTGCATAAGGCCGCTGCTCTCATTGACGTATCGATCGCGCTCCTTCTCCAGCTGCTGGATGATCTTTCGTTGCTTCTGGGCCTCCTGCCGGTACCCAGAGATCTCATTCTCCAAAGTTCTCTTATCCTGCTCCAAGAGTTTCAGAAGATTCTGCTGTTTCTCAGCGGAATGCAGGGCTTTGGTCATGTTCTGTTAAAAGGGAGATAAACAGCGAAGCCCGAGGCAGAAGGTGACGGGCTGTTAGTCCGGTTCTGCTGATTTAACCCCAGACTAAGCAGAATGACGGGAAACGTTTGTTAGATCTGGGTTTTGGATCACCTTGTGCAAAGTGTCCCTCTCTCTGATCAACTCCTCCTTTGCCTTTTTATCAATTTCCACTTGCTTTGTGGAAGATTCAAGCTCTGCATATTGTTGAACATGAAGAAAAACAGAAAACACATTTTGAATCTCTATATGAAATAACTTAGACATTAGCGGCTTACATAACCTACTAATGGACCCAGCTGAGCGGAGCTTCTATGAACCGAACTCTAAAACTCAGATGATCAGAAACAGATCAAACCTTTGCAGTGGCGGTCAACATACTGTGTAACTCTAAGCATGCTAATCTTTAGAACATGTGGTGCAGTTAGTAGAAGTCCTGAACTCGGTTCAACTCAGCTCATTTATTGATAATCAGCCATATTAATTCACACCTGGGTTCATTTAAGTCCCTTTTTAAAATGCAGTTCAATCAGACTGACTGGTTAAAGGTTGAGTCACTGACTTTGCAGCTTTTAATCCTCCTGGATGAACATATAGGGAGGCGACAGTGAAGAGGAAAACTCCCTTTGAACAGGAAATCAATCAGAACCAGGCTCAGCGTCAGTGAACTGGAGACACTAGAGGCTTATGCAGAAACACGAAAGGAACACAGAAGCTCTGATCTAGGAAAACTTTCTATGTGAGGGAAAGGT